TTTCTCCCTGCCATTATGTCTGTTGTCTCCACTTGTGCAGCCGCCTGGTATCTCACCCCTTGTTCTGCTGTGAGTGTATATGCCACGGGTGTCAAACTCCAGTCCTCAAGGGCCGGTGTCCTGAAACTTTTCCATGTGTGCCTGCTGCAACACACCTGAATAAAGTTCAGTAGGTCATTAGCAAGACATGCTGAGGTGGCAATTCAGCTATTTGATTCATGTTACAGCAGCTCAAGAGTGAATGAGCGTGGCACAATAAAAGTAGTTTTAGAAGTACTTTTTTTTGTTTTTAAACGTACGCTTTTATTTGCATTCATGTGAGTAGGGTTAGGGGTTGTTAGGGGTTAGGGGTTGCCACCTCGGCATGCAGTCAAGTCTTGCTAATGACTTACAAATTTTATTCAAGTGCCTTGCAGCAGGGACACATGGAAAAGTTTCAGGGCACTCAAGGACTGAGGTTCGACACCCCCGGTATATGCTGTTTCTGTCTCCCCGTGCTCATTGTTACATCGTCCCTCATAAAGCTCTGTGTTTCCTTGCTCTAAGTTTTCCAGTGAATCTGTATTCCCTGGGGATTTCCAGTGTTTAGTATTTCTTTGCTCTATTTCCTGTTTGTTCCTGTGTTTTTGGACTAATCAGCATTAAACGCTCATATTGAATGTGACTCCTGCCTCCTGTGCTTTGCATTTGGGTCCATAATAATCAGCTCACACAGCCAACTTATGACAGAAAGACAGACACGGCTCAACGTGAGCTAGAAAGTGATGAAACAGAAATTGTTGCACAGACTTCTTAAAAAAATCTCCAGACACTTGGTTGTGCAACACTCAGTGTTGCAGAAATGTTGTCAGATCAGAGGCTGGAGACGGGAGCAGGGCTTGAACTTATCCAAACTACAGAGGCCGTATCCTTTAACTATGTTAAAATCATTGTAATGGAGTCACAGTTACAATCCATCAGGTTCTCCTGTGTCTCACTGGTAACTTCTAACTTCCAGAGTCAGCATTTCTTCCAGCTTTCTTTCCTGGCTGCAAATCAGCTAAATGTTAACAATGCAGAGTGTCGTTTCCAGTCTTGCTGAACAACATCCATACAGCTCTTTAACGCTCTGCTACTAAGTGAAGCCAGATAACAGAAAGACATCCTGCACAGCCTGGATTCACTCCTGAAGTCTGACGGCACCCGGCAGATTCAGGTCTGCAGAAAGCTCATCATCGAGGAGAACAGAGATGACCCCATGTGTTCGTATTATGTGCGGCTACTAGCTGTGAAGGATGTGTATTGGAGTGCGCGTCTACATTTTATTCACGTCTTCTCATCATTTCACAGAGGGCTAACACAGCTCCTTCACCTTTAATCTATTAGAAAGAGGAGGAATGTTGTGTAAGCAAGGCCAGTGTCTGTCTTCCTAAAAGTAGATAAGAGAAACTCCTGACAGAGACCTTGAGAGCCGGCTCTGAGCAGAAAAATCTCTTACAGCTCTAAAATTCTGTTGTCCATCCTCTTTGCAAAGATTTTCTCTTTTAAAAATACCAGTAAGAACAACAACAGGCAGATATTTTAATGTCAAACGTCCCAAATACTGTTCAAGGACAAATGTGTTCTGTAAGGAGCCTTCATATTCAAATATATTATCATTTTGTTATTTCAAGCAAAACTGACGTGCCTCACTTTTCATACCTGCTCCGCTGAGGCCAGCCCGGTGACCTCTGTGACAGCCTCCCCTCCCTGTACAAAGGCAAACATTGCCACTTTTTACCTCTCAGAAGAAGCAACTGTGGAAGCTCATTTCAGAACTGAGTGCATATTGTCATAGTTCATCAGCAGTTAGTGAGGAAGGTCTTTAACAAGGTAATTGCCCTTAAAACCCCCAGAAACTATTCCAATAGTCATTAAACCACGTCTTTACTGATATATTCTGAGGTTTCAATAAGGCTACTGTGGAAGTTGTCAAATTATAGCTGTCTTTATAGGAGTAAGAGTTAAATCAGCATTTATGGTCAGTAGGAGCCGACGCCTCTACTTGCCAAAAATGGTAATACTCCTCAGACGTCTATGGGAAAATGGGGCAGCTGCCTTGAATATTTTCCTTGTTGAGTTTATAGATACAATTGTTTTAAATCAATGCAGTTTCTTTGGTAGTTTCTGGTGCTTTGTGAGTATTGAGTATCAGTCCCTGTACTGTTGTAGCCAGAACACAAATGGGAGCTAACACCTCTAAATCTGATGCTAAGGCTCTCAGATGTAAAAGGCTGAGGAGGAGCTGCCACATGTGGAGGGGTGTAAGTATCTCGGGGTCTAGTCTGAGTGAGAGGAGTGGAGTGATTCACATACTATACGGGTCTGTTATGCTTTGAGAGAGAGCTGAGCATGAAAGCAAAGCTTTTCATTTACTGGCCCATCTAGATTCCCACCTTCACCTTATGACCATCAACTGTGGGTGGTGACTAACAGAATGAGTAGCTCCATCTTTTGTGAGAAGGCTCAACAGCTGCTACTCCTCAACATCAAAAGTAGCCAGCTGAGGCGGTCTGGGCATCCGAACCATCCGTCCCAGACTCCCTGGAGTGAGGAGGTGTCTGTGGAGAGGGAGGTCTGTAAATTGCATTTAATTTTATTTACATAGTGCCAAATCCCAGTCACCTTGGGTGCTTTATATTCTAAGGTAAAGACCCAGAGTAATACAGAGAAAACAGATAAAACCCAACAATCAGATGACCCTGTTTGAGCAAATGCTTTGGTGACAGTGGGAAGGAAAAACTCCCTTTTTACAGGAAGAAACCTCCAGCAGAACGAGGCTCAGGGAGGGGCGGGGCCATCTGCTACGACCAGCTGGGTGAGGGGAGGGAGACAGGACAAAGACGAGTAATAAAGACGGATGGGTGTGATGTGTTACTTTTCCTCACACTGTAAAACACAAAAGCTACTTTAGTTTGCGATGAAACTAAAACTGAGATGTGCCAGATTTTCAGACATTTCAAATTCAGACAGACGACTTTTGTTTAGATGTTTGTTTGTTTTTTTGTTTGTTTGATGATGAAACATCTCTAATGTGACTCACAAAGGAAATTATGCGTTTGACACACACACACACACACACACACACACACACACACACACACACACAAACACGCACGCACCCCCACACACAACACTCTAAAAAGGCATTCCTTTCCCCTTTCAAATCCAAATAAGTTTCTTTTAAAAGAAGTGTGATGCTCGACCGGAACATGAAGGAATATACATATGACTTTAATGATTCAGCAGAGTAGGGATGGGTATCGTTTAGGTTTTATCCGATACCAGTGCCAAACCGGTACTTTTGAAACGGTGCCGGTGCTTAAACGGTGCTCGAACCGGTGCTTAAAGAATGGAGAACACAACTTTGTCCAAAAACCTCTATGTTTAGCTGTTTTTTTGTAAAAAGATAACAATGTTAGCCTTTTCTGCAGCTATAGGGCATATATGGTATCACTCTTGGCTGGAAGCAGTGCTTAAACAATGGAAAAAACACAAACTTTGTCCAAAAACCTCTCATGTTTAGCTGTTTTCCACTTTTTCTTTGGTCATTTTAGCCTTTTTGGCCAGGGTGAAGGGAGCATCTGCCATCAAACAAGAAGACAGCCGCATGTAGCTATGATGATGTTTGCTAGTTCACCTTACATGCATTAATGTAATAACGTGGTTAGCCTACTCAACGTAAATTACACACGAACAACATTAAGCTACTCACGCAGAGAAGAACGGCTGCTGCATCATCATCCTCATCATTTCTGCTACACTGGCAGGGCTAGGGGCCAGGACTCTCCTCTTCGGGTTCTTGGGGGATGTTGCTAACTCCGGGTCCGATAACAGGCACCACACCCGCAGTAGATGTGCTCGGTGTGAGGTCTTGCAGCAAGCTATCAAATACGGTGCATTTCTCGGCTTTTAAAAAAACGCTATGCGTCGCCAGGTGTTTCATCAGATTCGAGGTGTTACCTCCTTTGACAGTATCACAGTATCAGCTTAAAGCACTTGTTGCTGCTGAGTTTGCATCTTTTGCTGTGAAGTACAGCCAGACTTTGACCGCTTCGCCTTGGGCATTTTTAATTTGTAGCTCTGCTCTAAAATATGATGCAATCTAATTATAAATGCAAAACAATACAATTAAATTTTTAGTTTGTTTCCTCCCCACAGTCATGATTTATGTTGAACACACAAGGCCTGTCACACCGAACCCCTGCAGTTATCATAGGGGGTCAGTCTAGTACTAATTCCAAAAAAGTTGGCATGATGTGTAAAATGTAAATAATTTAAAGAATGATTTTCACAGTGGAAAATGAAAAACACATCAAATTTAAACTGAGAAAATGTGGTTTTTTAAGGTCAAGGTTCAGGCTGATGTAAGATTCATCAGTCGTGGCTTTGCACAGAGATTTCTCCAGATTTTCTGATATTACACACATTATTAACATTTTTACACCGTGAACATTATTTTGAAATTCTTTCATAATTTAGTAGCTGCCGATTAACCTAGCCGCTTCTTTCTAGCAACACTTTATTTTCCAGCCTTTCCTGGAGCCAGCATTACATTGCTTGAGATGTAATGCTGGCGTGAAACTGAAATTGAACTCATATTTTTCACGAAACAGTAAAATTTCTTCTTCCAATATTGGTATTGTTTTTTGTGTTCTAATGTGAATAAAATGTGGATATAATATTTGCAAATGTTTTATTTACATTTTACACATTTTTTGGATTTGGTGTGCGCGCGCATCTGTAATATAAATAACGAGCCAAAAACGCGTTACGATGATTTTGTATGATAGCAGTAAGTTATATTGAATTAGAACAGTTTTCCATATTTCTGCATTTTTACAGAATTTAAGCTTTTTCACCAAAATCTGGCACAAAGTGACGCAGAGCATTCCCTGTTTAATGCTCGGGGTTTCCTGGGGAAGGATCTCAAGTTTGCCCGCCTAATGAATGCCCTCCAGTGTTGACACCAAACCCACGCCCTTGTAAGCAATCAGCGGCACTGCTCCTACCCAGGGCACAGAATCAGTGCGCGAGGAGAAGGAAAACATCTCCTTGCTGTGCGTGTTTACGACAGAGGATGTTTCAGAATGACACCACTTGTACATGAACCCCACCTCTCCCCCCCCGGCTCACACGTCGGGCGCTGCGTGCTGTGCTTGAGCGTCACATCACAGACTTAACGGGAATCTCGGGTGTCTGCACCGCTCCTCCAGGATTATGCCCGGGATGACTCCGTGGTGATTTCTGAGTCCTTTTTGGAAACATTCATGGGTGCATGAGAGGATTTCCCGAGTGGGGAAACGTGGGATTTTGTCCACTACCGCTGTCGTTTCCACTGCGCGGACGGCTCAGGTTTTGACCACAACTTGGGTTAAACTTTCCCGAAATACTCCGGTGTGAAGAAAGAAAGCAGGATTTACAATTAACTATTTAACCTGGTGTTCTCTTCACACTGCCGGGGATGAAGGCAGATCGACGAACTATGAATTTTCTCTTATGGATATTAGTCCCAAACTTTTTCCTGTGTTGGCTTGTGGTTGACGCACAGGTAAGAAACGTTATGCTAGGCACGCGCCACAGCACGCGGCATGTTTGTGCTGCTGAAGTCATATTTTTGAGCAATTGTTTCCCCCATTGAGCCCAAAGAAGCTCAACAGAAACATGAGAATATAAACTGTCATTATATAATGTTAGACCAGCACCATGCATCATTTCCCCTGTGTGCAGACACAGCAGGCAATCTAAAGAACACCAGCCATGTATGCAAGTATAGTGCATGTGCGCATTTTTCTGTTTTTATATCTATCTATCTATCTATCTATCTATCTATCTATCTATCTATCTATCTATCTATCTATCTATCTATCTATCTATCTATCTATCTATCTATCTATCTATCTATCTATCTATAACAGTATAAGTGTATAAGTCATTTATTTTGTTATTTTGTGCTGTAGATTTTTGCGACCACACACGCACGCACGCACGCACACTCCACATTTCATCATAAAATCAATATCAATATCAGCACAGCAGATAGAGACGATGCATTGTTATGAGCTTAACTTGCCAGGAGCAGTTTGTTCCACATTTGATAAGTTTTGTGTTCTAAAATAACCATCAGCTGGCCCATATCAGCTGCCTTTCAGATCACATTGTGATGGGTTTGTTAAGCCTCACTTTTTTAAGTAATGAAGCAAAACCAAACTGAATGCTTCCTAGGAACAAGAGCAGTATGTTGGAGTTTAGATTATTTGTCTTAAATTGTTGTTGTTGTTGTTTTAAATAAGATGATGTATGTGAATATAGTATTTTGCATGTAACTCGAAGCTGGGCTGACTAAAAAATTGACACACGAATCACCAGACTTGATGTACTATTAGTCACTGATGAGTCCCAGTTGGTTATAGTGAAGCATAAGCTGCAGCATGTTGAGGGCATGAGAGCGTTCCTGCATTAACAGCACCACGGACAGCGGCTTCAGCACTGGATCCTCTGTGATGATGAAGGATCTGAGTGTACATAAAAACCAGAAAATAACATTTCTGATGCCAAGGCATCATTTCATAATATGAATATCAAATAGCAATAATGGAATAATGAATAGTGCCGGCCATATGGTAGATTCAAATGTTGAAATACGAATCATTGAAAGTTGGGATTGTTTGGTTTTTGCTTCACTGACAGATGCTACTCCTCCTATAATTTGTCAGTATTGTATTTTAAAAAATTTGTTTTTTAAAAATACATTTTCCAGGTAAAGCCTGTTGCCTGCTAATCAGACTCAAGTCTTTGCTTCAGTTTGAGAGTGAAGTGCAATCTTCTTCCTGTACAGCTGCTTTAATTTCATCCATGTCTGCCATCAGGTTTACATGCATTTTTTCCATGAAGAGAGATATTTAGCTGGCTAAGACAAAGATGTGTGAAGATAACACCTTTCACTCTTAATCCCACAGATTAACCTTTACTTCAACTGTTTCATCAGTGGGTTCAACGTTTGTATTGTTGGACAAATTGTGGGGATTAATTCAGAGTCTGGAGTCAGATTAGGTAAAGCCCACCAAGGCTCACTGGCTGAACTCTGAGTCAGTGATGAACACGTCAGCCTGATTTGCAACATCAAATAAAGCGTGCACATATTAAACAGCAGCTTCAGTTTACCTTAGTTTTAAAAATAACACACTGACGTGCTGGGAAGTTTTAGGGAATGTAATAAAGAAGAGAGCTTCTTTCTGCATCCAACAAAGGATCCTCGAAGGAAGTTTCAGGGGTTTAAATGTACTTAATGAACTGATTCTGATGCCTGGCACTATAATTATTTATCCCAAGACTGAAAGTCAAACATCTGCTGTGTACCAGCTAACCACCCTCAGTGAGATGGCTGGGCTTCGGCTGGGTTGTTTGGCTCAGGAAGGTGTAAATCTGGAGTCCAATTAATGGAACAAGCCTTCAGGTGTGGGACACAGACAACTTCTATTTAGAAAATCTGTCTATAAATGGGATCTGATTTAGTACTGTGGCTACCTTTGACCAAGCTGGGGCCCAGTTATGATGATTCAACTGTAACACAGGACATATTATTCTCCAAGGTGAAAAAAGAAGGGTTGGGTAAGGGCTTTAAGTATCAGGAGAGCTGCTTGTACAAGAAATAGAATAGATGTAGAGATACTGTGAAATGACGTCAAAAATCCCCACCTGAGCTCTGTTGAAGCAATTATGGTCCAAAATGGCTCTAAAAGGTTTTGAAGGTATAAGCTGCTACAACAGGAAGTGCTTTTTTTGAGGTTATTGCTGCTAGAAGAGTTTCAACCAGTTATTCATTCATACTGGGATTATCTACACCTATGACTCAAGCTTTATTTGTAGCGCTGTTTATATCCGGCAGAGCAGACAATTAATTTTCCCCAGGGTGCTGCATTAGAAACTGCGACAGCCGTGGAGGGCCGCACCCAGGAGGGAAAGCTAAACACCCACCCTGACCGTAGAGTCTGATGACATAAGATACTGATATCTGCTGATGTTAAAAACACTTTTTCCCTTTCTAACAGATGTAACACACATTTACACATTTCCTTATCATTTTGTGGTTCAAAATAGGTGTGCCCTCTGGTGGACAGCATGTGCAACAGCAAAACAGCTAACAGCTAATAATTTTACGATATGCCGAGTGTTGCAATAAAAAATAATATAAAAAACAAACACCCAGCACGCCCCTGCTGGCGGTTTATCCTTCAAGCTCGGGTCCTCTACCAGAGGCCTGGGAGCTTGAGGGTCCTGCGCAGTATCTTAGCTGTTCCCAGGACTGCGCTCTTCTGGACAGAGATCTCCGATGTTATTCCCGGGATCTGCTGGAGCCACTCGCCTAGCTTGGGAGTCACCGCACCTAGTGCTCCGATTACCACGGGGACCACCGTTACCTTCACCCTCCACATCCTCTCGAGCTCTTCTCTGAGCCCTTGGTATTTCTCCAGCTTCTCGTGTTCCTTCTTCCTGATATTGCTGTCATTCGGAACCGCTACATCGATCACTACGGCCGTCTTCTTCTGTTTGTCTACCACCACTATGTCCGGTTGGTTAGCCACCACCATTTTGTCCGTCTGTATCTGGAAGTCCCACAGGATCTTAGCTCGGTCATTCTCCACCACCCTTGGGGGCATCTCCCATTTTGACCTCGGGACTTCCAGGTTATACTCGGCACAGATGTTCCTGTACACTATGCCGGCCACTTGGTTATGGCGTTCCATGTATGCCTTGCCTGCTAGCATCTTGCACCCTGCTGTTATGTGCTGGATTGTCTCTGGGGCATCTTTACACAGCCTGCACCTGGGGTCTTGCCTGGTGTGATAGACCCCAGCCTCTATGGATCTTGTCTCAGAGCTTGTTCTTGTGCTGCCATGATTAGTGCCTCTGTGCTGTCTTTCAGTCCAGCTTTGTCCAGCCACTGGTAGGATTTCTGGATATCAGCCACCTCCTCTATCTGCCGGTGGTACATACCGTGCAGGGGCCTGTCCTTCCATGATGGTTCCTCGTCTCCCTCCTCTTTCTTGGGTTTCTGCTGCCTGAGGTATTCACTGAGCACTCGGTCAGTTGGGGCCATCTTCCCAATGTATTCTTGGATGTTCGTTGTCTCATCCTGGACTGTGGTGCTGACACTCACCAGTCCCCGGCCCCCTTCCTTCCGCTTAGCGTACAGCCTCAGGGTGCTGGACTTGGGGTGAAACCCTCCATGCATGGTAAGGAGCTTTCTTGTCTTTATGTCAGTGGCTTCTATCTCCTCCTTTGGCCAGCCTATTACCCCAGCAGGGTACCTGATCACGGGCAGGGCGTACGTGTTGATGGCCCGGATCTTGTTCTTACCATTCAGCTGACTCCTCAGGACTTGCCTGACCCTCTGCAGGTACTTGGTGGTTGCAGCTTTTCTAGCGGCCTCTTCATGGTTCCCATTCGCCTGGGGATCCCCAGGTACTTGTAACTGTCCTCTATGTCTGCAATGTTGCCTTCTGGTAGTTCAATCCCCTCAGTTCTGACTACCTTCCCTCTCTTTGTTACCATCCGACTACACTTCTCCAGTCCGAACGACATTCCAATGTCATTGCTGTATAGCCTGGTAGTGTGGATCAGTGAATCGATGTCTCGTTCACTCTTGGCATACAGCTTGATGTCATCCATGTACAGGAGGTGGCTGACAACTGCTCCGTTCCGTAGTCGGTATCCGTAGCCAGTCTTGTTAATGATCTCACTGAGGGGGTTCAGGCCTATGCAGAACAGCAGTGGGGACAGAGCATCTCCTTGGTAGATCCCGCACTTGATGGTGACTTGTGCTATGGGCTTGGAGTTGGCCTCTAGTGTTGTACGCCACATCCCCATTGAGTTCCTGATGAAGGCTCTTAGGGTCCCATTGATCTTGTACAATTCTAGGCATTCCAGTATCCAGCTGTGGGGCATTGAGTCATAGGCCTTCTTGTAATCAATCCAGGCAGTGCACAGGTTGGTCAGTCTGGTCTTGCAGTCTCGGCTGACTGTTCTGTCTACCAGTAGCTGGTGTTTTGCGCCTCTGGTATTCTTGCCAATTCCTTTCTGTGTCCCACTCATGTATTGACCCATGTGCCTGTTCATCTTAGCCGATATGATGCCTGACAGGAGCTTCCATGTAGTACTGAGGCAGGTTATTGGTCGGTAGTTGGAGGGGACCGGTCCCTTCTTGGGGTCCTTGGGGATCAGGACCGTCCGACCTTCGGTTAGCCATTCCGGGTGTCTCTCGTTAACTAGCAGCTGGTATATATATATATATATATATATATAGTGTGACTTATCACCAAATTATGAACTCAAAGTTAAACTTTTTCAGTATCTGTTTTATCCAGTAAAATCTGTAAGTTTTGTCTCTACAGTTATTTTTTTTGCTGCAAAATGAAAAAATGTGGTGAAAATGCCACAAATGCTGCTGTAAGTTGGAGTCTTTCTGCATCTGAATGGGATCAAGTTAGCAATTAAATGCAATATTTTTCTGAAAATACAGCAGTTAACTGAGATAAATCATTGTAAATC